AGACTGCAGCATGTGCCAGCACACACAAAAGCTGGAACTGGGGGCAGACAGACTGGGGGCAAAGCAGGATTGTGGCACTTGTCAGTACACATAGGATCCTGGACCTGCTAGGACACAGTTCCCACTGGGGAGCCTGATAGCTGGAACTGGGGATGGGCTAGGCCAGGCAAGGCTGCAGTACCTGTCGATATGTATGTGGGCTGGGTTTGGAAGCAGGCTAGATGGGGCTAGGATTCAGCACCTGCTTGTGCTTGCAAGAGCCAGAACTGGTGTGTGACAAGTTAGGTTAGGCTACAGCACCCACGATTCACATGAGAGCCAGGTGGGGGTGTGGTCCAGACTGTACTGGGCTGAAAGTCAGAATGAGTGTGAGCCAGTTGGGCTAAGCAACAGTATGCACCAGTGAATGCTAGGACTGCGGGCTGGCTATATCAGGCTAGACCGTAGCACCTGTCAGTGCATGTGAGATGCAGGGCTGGGAGTGGGCCTGGTAGGGGAACTTGGAGAACTCCCTTGCTATACACATCTCCCAGTAGTGATTCTGAGAGCTGCAGTTGGAGGGTTAGGCTAAGCTCAGCTAGGCTGCAATACCTGTCAACATATGCATGAGCTGGGTTTGGAGGTGAGCCAGACTGGGCTAGGTCACAGTGCACACTGAGAGCAGCAGTGAGAGCCGGGATAGGATGCAGGCCAGGCTGGAATATAGTGCAACACCTGCAGTTCATAGGAGTGCAGGGAGTGGGCCAGGATGGACTAGGCTGCTGCACCCATTGATGAGAACTGGGAATGGGAATAGGCCAGGCTGAGTGAGCCAGGCTATAGCATGAAGTGGTGAATGCCGAGACTTAGGGAGGGCATCTCAAACCTAGCCACAGCACCCACTACCATCTGCAAGACCCAGCACTGGAAGTTGGCCTGTAGGGGAATATCAGAAACTCTCTTACTGGGACGCTGTTTTCTCTGGTGAGACTGAGAGCTGGGACTGAGGGTAGGCCTTTCTGGCAGTAGGCCAGGCTGCACCCACTAATGTATACAAGAGCCACAATGGGTGTGGGCTGCCTGGACTAGCCTGCTTCACCCACTAGCAAGTGCTGTGACTGTGTGCAAGTTGTATTAGGCTGGACTACAGTATCCCCAGCAAGCACAAGATTTGGGACTCAGAATGGGATTGCTAAGGAAACTGTACACAACCCTGCTAGGTTGACGCACCTGCTGATGAGCAGAAGAGTCAGGACTGGTAGTGGACGGGGCTATGTAGGTCATCAGTGCCTGTCAGCATTCATGTGGGCTGGATCTATGGGAGGTTGGGCTTAACTAAGTTCCAGCACCCATGGGTGTGACCAAGAGCCACACAGGATGTGGGATAGACCAGGCTAGGCCGTAGCAAATTCCAGTAAATACAGAAACCAGGGTTGGGGTGGACCTGCTGGAGGCCATTGGGGCTCACCCAGACTGGGCCATGGCACCTGCTGTTGTGTGTAAGAAGACTGTTTCTGTTGGAGACTGGGATAAATTAAACCTCAGCAGCCATCAGTTCGCTTGTGAGGTGGGGATAAGGGCAGAACTGACCAGGCAACTTCATCCACTGGTATGTGCATTGGCTAGTGCAGGTAACAGACCAAATCTGACCCTACACTGGATGGAACACAGGAGTCAAGTCTGAGGTCATCCAGGCTGGGTTTCTTGGGGGACTGCCTGACTAGATGGCTGTACCAAAACCCTGGCCACAGGGGAAATCAAAATATGGGTGGTCCATCCTTGGAGTGCATGTATCAGGACTGGGCCCTCTCAATTACTTCTCAGTTACTATGCCTGTGCAGTGATTGTTATAGCAAAACATACATGGGTAACATGACAGTCAGATTGTCTAGGCCAGCAGAGGAGTCAACTGCTTCATCAGAGGATAGAAAGCACAACAGGTTGAACCACCCTTCTGGACAAGCTTTGCAGCATATTCCTTGGCCTGTGGATGCACTAAGGTGAACTTGGTCAGCTAGTAGACCTTGGAAAGATTTTCTCAACACTCAAGCAGTGAAACCAACAACTTCTCAGATCTATCAAAAAATCACTCAAGGGCCCGGCGCGGTGGCGCAAGTGGTTAAAGGTCCTCGCCTTGCACGCCCGGGATCCCATATGGGCGCCGGTTCTAATCCCGGCAGCCCCGCTTCCCTTCCAGCTCCCTGCCTGTGGCCTGGGAAAGCAGTCGAGGACAGCCCAAAGCTTTGGGAACCTGCACCCGCGTGGGAGACCCGGAAGAGGCTCCTGGCTTCGGATCGGCATAGTATCGGCCCGTTGCGCTCACTTGGGGAGTGAATCATCGGACGGAAGATCTTCCTCTCTGTCTCTCCTCTCTCTGTATATCCGCCTTTCCAATGAAAAAATAATAAAAAATAAATCTTTAAAAAAAAAAAATCACTCAAGAAACACTCTCAGACCACTCTTCCTAACATTATTGTTTCCAAGGCATCATCAAATGAATGTTCCCCCTTCCACAGGTGCTGATGTAGTTGCACAGCAAGGAGTGACCACCTCCCTCCCTTTCCCTACCTGGGGAGTTGGGCAAAAACAAAACCAAAAATTTGTCTCATCCACCTTCCTCCATACCTCAACCCTCCACACTAATCAGAGACCCACGTGGGCATGCATTCCTCTCAATTATATAAACAATGTTAAAAATAAAATTTGAGGGCCCGGCACAGTGGCCTAGCTGCTAAAGTCCTCACCTTGAACGTGTCGGGATCCCATATGGGCACTGGTTTTGGTCCCAGCATGACCGCTTCCCATCCAGCCTCCATGCTTGTGGCCTGGGAAAACATTCGAAGAGGACCCTGCACTCGTGTGGGAAACCCGGAAGAAGCTCCGGGCTCTTGGCTTCGGATTGGCTCAGCTCTGGCCATTGCAGCTACTTGGGGGGTGAGTCAATGGATGGAAGATCTTCATCTTTGTCTCTTCTCTCTATATATCTGCCTTTCCAATAAACATAAATCTTTTTTAAAAATAAGTCTTTAAAAAATAAATAAAATTTGAAAAAAGTTGAATTTTTAATGTTCTTGTTATGATTCAATAGTGTATAATTACCCTGTCTATGTAAGGTATATTTGAATGTTTACTTTTGCCCTTTCTGGTTATACTTATATATGATATAAATAAATAAATATTGGGAAAGGTGCAATGGCTCAACTAATTAATCCTCCACCTCCAAGTACTGGCAGCCTGTAATGGGTGCCAGTTCTAATCTCAGCGGCCCAAGTTCCCATCCAGCTCTTTACTTGTGGTCTGGAAAATCTGTAGAGAATGGCCCAAATTGTTTGGACCCTGCACACACATGGCAGATCTATAAGATGCTCCTGGCACCTGACTTCAGATTGCCTGAGCCCCAGACATTGTGGCCATTTGGGGAATGAACCATCGGATGGAAGATCTCTCTTCTCCTCCCTTTACCTATAAATCTGCCTTTCCAATGAAAATTAATTTTATAGTATTAAAAATAAAATACTAAGATTATTTCTACAACAGGAATTATATCTGTAGACTTCATTTTATAGACTTTATTAGGCAGTTTAAATCAATGTATATTTTTATTTCAGAATAAATCATATTCCAGTCTGGTTTTGGATGAATCTTTTTGGTGAGCACAGATGGCTTATGTTGTAGCATTTCCTTGTATTTCCATAATGGAATTACAAACTTCTGGGTTAAGACAACACTATTTGGATAATTACTTTTAATAACTTGATATATGCATTCAGTTTTTCAACAGTCCTGTGTTCAAATAATATTTATTAATTACAGGTACAGGTAGATACTGAAAAAGCACATATTCTGATAGCCAGTTTGAGTTTGTAAGTAAACATTTGTGTAAGTTAATTATCAACTTAAAGATAAATTATTAAGTTGTATTGACTGTAGGGTTTTAGCATTCTGACTGACACTTTAATACTACACTTGCCAAAGATCATCAAAATCATGATCATGAAGTGAGTTAAGTGTATTGGTGGGTTTACAATTTGTTAAAGGTCAAAGAGCTGGAAAAATTCAGAGTGAGATAATCTGTGTTGGAAACCAAACTCCCACTACTAGAAGAGTATGATACATGCAGGTTGGCAGAATGTCAGCCACCAGCTGCCTCTGAATGACTTTCCCAGCTGTGATAGTTGTAGAATTGAGTTTTAGACTGCATTTTATTTTAGGTTTTTCATTTATTTATGTAATGGTAAATATTTTATCTGTCACTTTTTTCTTCAGAGTATAGGCAATAAATTTGATTGGATTTTGGGATTATCTGCTTCTAATAAAGAAAAACATAGACTTGTATAAAATTTGAATGCAGTCTAAATATGTATAAACATGAAATAGAATGATTTACATAGTTAACTTAAAAAAATTCTGGCTAAATGTTTGGCAGAGAATGTACAGAATTTGTGTACTTTTGTTCAGAGTCAAAAACAGCTCTTAATTCTTTTTGTGGTGTGGGTGATAGTAGAAGGCATGCTAGCAGTGTCTTAAAGGTCAATTTTCCTACCTAGACCGATGCAAATCGTAGCCTATAGAGGAGTGTTTTTGGATAAATTACATAAGACCAACATCTGTTGGTGAGTTGTGCTAATGGAAATCATCTGAATTGTGATTATAACACTAGAAAATTCCATATTTAGACCTGTTTGTTTTTACATCTCCCTCAATACATCAGAAAAGACACAAGCTTATTACAACTTTTAGTTCTGAATCCTGAGTCCTGAAAATAAATTACCAGGAAGTATGTTACTCAACAGGAGGAATTTTAGCAAACAGAGTAAAGCAACAAGATGTGTGATGCTCCTTTTCATATCTTTCATGATGCATTTTACATTATGCAAAGGTATTCAGTGGACAAAAGAATAAGTGTTACTGATCCTTAGATAAATAAGGAAGAAAGATTACATGAAATCAAAACACCTCAGTGAAAAATATCAGTTATAAATATTTGTATGTAAGTATACAATAGTTAAAATCTAAATCATGTGCTTGTTTCAGCAGCACATATACTAAAATTGGTATGATACAGAGAAGATTAGCATGGCCCCCGTGCAAAGATGACACACAAATTTGTGAAGCGTTCCATGTTTTAAAAAAACTAAATAATATCAACTTAAGAACTAAATAGATATTTCTGGAGAATTATTACTAGAGAACCAGAATAAGTGATTTTTTCTTTCTTTTGAAATTATCAGACACAAGTAAGATGATCAATTTCTTTATATTGGTTATAAAATGGTGAGAGAAATAAATGTATTGACATTGAAAGAGTTAATTAGATGTTAACAGGGTTTATGCATGTATGAATAGATATATTACCATTTTAAATTTAAAATGTCATTAGTATAAATTATATATCAATGTAATATGTATAATATACACATTCATATATAATTATACATTATATATTAAAATGACATAAATGTTATACATAAATATATATTATAGGGAAATATTTAGTCATTTGGGTCTGTGTAGGTGAAGTAACATTATCATAAAGATGGTAGATGTGTTTTATGTATGAGGAATTTTAAGACATATAAATTTTGTGCATTCAGCAGTCGTGTCTACCTCTGTTTCCTTTACTAAATTTTATATTTTTTAGTATTAAAGTTCTGTAAATTTTATTGGATATTTCCTGTATCAATTATAGTAATAAATATATTTTTGCCAATTAGAAAAAATTTGCATACCTACTGACAAGTTTTATGAATCTATAAAACTGCCATTATCAGGATTTCAAAGAAAAGTAGATATGCTCATCAAATTAGTTCAATTGAACTAAAATTTTCAGCTCCTCAAAAAGAGAAAAAGAATGATTTGAATAGCAGTGAAAGTTTGACTAAAATTTATGTAAAACATGCTTCTTATAAACAGAACAATGACTGGATTCTGAAGTCATAGAACAAATAAAATGGTGAATCTAGGAAATTGGATTTTAATACAAAACATGAAAAAACATGTTTAAGTGTTCAGTAGTTTATTTAGAAAAACATATCACCTAGTACTAATGATGTGTCTCTTCTTTTCCCATGCTTATAGACCTTATCTCTTATGCTACTATATTGAGTGGTACTCTTATGTGTTGAGTAATACCTTTAATAATGTATATAAACCGTCAGACAATAGGATCCTTGTCGGGTTAACTTTTCCTAATAACGATGTCTCCCAAATTTTCTGTTAGACATGTCTGTCCTAGGATTTCCAATACAGAATTTATTGAAAATAAGACCTGCCCCTTCACTTCTTTGTTTAGAGAATGTTATATTTTGTGCTTTATGACATACATTTTATTGTGTATCTTGAAACCATCTTATATCTCGCTTTGCATTTCTTTTATTACACAATATTGTGTGCAATACATACATAGGAATGCATTTCCCAAGGTTCGTATGTTAGAAATCTGATCTCCAATGTGGAAATATTGGGAGGTGATACTTTCAAGAGATGCTTAGTGCCTTGTGAATGAATTAGTGCCATTATAGAGTGTTTATTATCATATGTGTCCTTTTTGAGAGAATGAATTTTGTTCCTTCTTATTTTCTCTTATTTCCTCTTGTCTTATACCCTAGGGTGAAGTAGTAACTGCCCATAAACAGATGTAAGGGTTTTTGTCTTTTTTTTTTTTTTCTTTAAGACTTTGTCTATTTGAAAGGCAAAATTAGAAACAGAATGCTTCAATCTGCAAATTCACTCCACAGATGGCTGCAGTGGCCAGGATTGGGTGAGGCTGAAGCTAGGAGCTTCTCTGAGTTTTCCATGTGGGTTAAAATGTTCCAATTACTTGAACTATCCTCCACTCCATTCCAAGGCAAGTTAGCAGGGAGCTGGATCATAAATGGAACAGCAGGACTTGGTTTGTTGGTCATATCGGATGCCAGCTTCTCAGGCAGCAGCTTTATTTGCTATGCCACAGTCATCCCCATTGCCAGCCATTTGATCCATGACTCATCAGTCTCCAAAAGTGTTAGAAATAAACTTGTGTTCATTTTGAATAAGTCTCAGGTATTCTGTTGCAGCAACACAAAACAGATTGATGGTTTCCACTGTCGGAATTTCTGATATGAAACCATCTTTGTATTCCTGGTACAGATCTTGTAGTCCACAGTGTATTTTGAATATTGTGTTGGATTTGTTTGACTGGAAAGTTTTACTTAGCATCTTCATATCTATCTTGATGAGCAAAATAGACCTTCTCTTTCCTTCATATCTTGCTATCTTGGTTGCTAAACTCTCAAGTAAATTAAAGAATTTTGCCTTTTTCTATTTTTTATGAAAAATAAACAACTGGCTTTTAAATCCCCCCCCCCCCCCGGTTTTTAAAAATAAGTATTATGCTTCTCTGTGGTGCTTTGGGCTGCATTGTATATTTGACTCTATAACATTTCCTTAAAGTTCATTAGATATTGTTCCAAAATGCATTAACCTGTATAACACTTGTTCTGTGTTTTTGTGTACCTTCTCCCAATACCTGTCATTTTGCATTCTTTATTCCAGTTAATCAAAATAAGGAAGATAAATGAAGCAACAGCAAAATCACAGCTGATTTAAGGTACCTAAAAGGAATATTTGTGAAAATTGCATCTTTATAAAGCACAGTATTATAATTGAATAAATTAGTTTTTAAATTTAACCACAGGGGAAAAATTATTCAGCCTTGAAGATAGCCTCTAGGACAAAGTACACATAATATTTGTCATTCATTTGACATTTTTTAAAAACTTCAGTCTATTTTTATTCTAATAATAGGCTAATTCTATAAGGCAGCCTAGAAAAGATAATATTGAGTACAAAAATTAATTTTCGTATTTGCACAAGTAAACCGTACATGATTTATAGTTGAGTAGTATAAATGCTCTTAATACACAACAGGGCTTTACTTACAAGGATGCTACCTACAGTTTGAGATTAAGACACTAAATCTGTAGACATAAAATTTGAATCATTACCTCCTAACTACTCATAAAATTCAGTGCAGTTATTCTGTCTTCTTGCTTTCTTAGTAGAACAATCTATGAAAGTGTAATATATTTCCCTTGAGCCATTTTTTTTTACAAATAATCTCTTGCTAAATGTGTTTTTGTCTTTAACTCTGTGTGTGCATACTATTGACACTCTTCAAATGTGTCCTTGTATGTAATATGGACATTTATTATCTAATGGAGTAGAGGAATCCCAACTCATATGGACTGACATAAAACTGGAATTCATGGTTTCTTATACAGAAAAAAAAAACGAATTAGCAGTGATAATGAACGTTGGTTTTTCTTGCCTCTGGTTCAGTCCTTTTCTCCAGGACATACTGTAGTCATACTTCTCATCCTTATTGTTGCCTTGATTCCAATTAGATTTCAATGACCAATTCTGTGTTGATGCATCAATTATTTTAATCCATTCTGATTCATTTCCTATATTATCAGCTCCAGAACTGTGTCTCAGTGAATATCTTATCATATTTTCTAGTTTATCTAGCAGTAATGTTATTCTCCTACATTCCCATAAAAGACACTAAAGAGTCTCCTCTTTCTAAATTATTCTTTGAATGGCTACTCTACTGACTAATTTACCAAAAGACTTTTAATTTTTTTCATTTTTTTGTCTTTCTTGGATATTCCCCTTTCCTTTTTTTTTTTTTTGTTAATTAAATCCCTACCTTATTCCAGGTTTACATATCTGCATTTAACACACTCTGTCCATTATTGCTGTTCTTATGCTGTATTCCATTAGATTTTTTTTCTTTCTAAAACATACACAATTGCGTTATTTTGCTATTCAGTATTGTATTAGCTATGTAATGATAGGTAGTTAGAATTCCATATTAATAATATTTATAATGTTGATACTCCTGTGTTCACGTAAGACATTTCATATTTCTGATGTTTATTTTACCATCCTTATTTGTATATGCAATGTTGATATTAGAATCCAACATTTTCTCCATTTATGTTTCTACTAACAGTACATATTAAGTTAATGTATTTGCTGGACCAGTGTGGTAGCCTAGTGGCTTAAGTTTTCACCTCGTATGCACTGGGTTCCATATGGGCACCATTATAATCCCAACGGCCCTGCTTACCATCCAGCTCCCTGCTTATGGCCTAGGAAGGCAGTTGAGGACCTCCCAAAGCCTTGGGATCCTGTCCCAGCATAGGAGACCTGGAAGAACCTCCTGGCTCCTGGCTTGGGATCGCATCAGTTCCGGCCATTGAGGCTACTTGGGGAGTGAATCAACAGAAGATTTTCCTCTCTCTCTCTCCTCCTGTCTGTATATCTGATTTTACAATAAAAATAAGTAAATCTTTTTTAAAAAGTTATATATTTGCTGCATATGTACATTAATATTAATATTGACATCAAATAATTGAAATGATTTTGCTTACTGTCAATATCATGAAACATAAAATTGTTTTTATAATCTGTTTCAGTAAATATAGTGTTTAAAGGATTTTATATATAATAGTTATTATCTTTAATATGATTAGGGAATACTAGAATTTGGAAGACGGAAAAACCTGATTTTTAATCTCAAACATAACAAGAATCATGTTTGTGCTTTAACATCTTTATCTATGTAATCTTTTATCAGATATAACATTTCATTCATTCTTTTTTAAATATTTTTATTACAAAATCAGATATACAGAGAGGAGGAGAGGCAGAGAGGAAGGTCTTCTGTCCATTGATTCACTCCCCAAGCAGACGCAATGGCCGGAGCTGAGCCAATCCAAAGCCAGGAACTTCCTCCGGGTCTCTGACGAAGGTGCAGGATTCCAAAGCTTTGGGCTGTCCCCAACTGCTTTCCCAGGCCACAACCAGGGAGCTGGATGATAAGCAGGGCCGTTGGGATTATAATGGTGCCCATATGGGATCCCAGTGCATTCAAAGAAAGGACTTTAGCCACTAGGGCACCATGCTGGGACCTCAGGAGTTCTTTATTCTATCCTTTTATGATATTGTGATACTTTCATTTTTCCTGACATTGTATACATTAAACCACAGACTACATCACACTTCTCATACCACTTACACTCTATTATGGAGGAAACATAAAGAAGCATATACTGTATCCAAAAAATAACTGAAACAGATACT